TCCGATGTTCTCCATCTACCCGTTTGATTGGGGATGGTAGCCCGATGATAGACTTACGGTGACATCTAGGAGTCCAAACCCTTGAAATGAACTGGGTCACAGTCTGTGTCAATGTCCTTGAATTACAACTCATCCCTTTCCATGGCCGTGGTTAATCTTTTGTGTTGAATCAACCGACAGGATTTGGAAATGCGATCTACCACAAGGATACAGGTATTTCCATTGGAAATTGGCAAATCAGTCATGAAATCCACCCCTAGATGTGCATGGGGCGATTGGGCATGGGCAGCGGAAAGAGTTTGCCTGAAGGTGGCTGGCCAGGGGACTTGGATATGTCGCAATCCGTACACCTTTTCACAAACCTTATGACATCTCCGGGCATACTGGGCCACCAGAAGCGATCTTGTTACAGCGAGAGGGTTTGATTACCCCCTGGGTGGCCAGTGTCAACAGAAGAATGTGCAGAGTGAATGAAACTGTAGCGTTGATTTCTGGGGATGACCCCCCAGCGGAGGATTTTTGGAGACACTGGCTTGATTTTCAACTTGGGACTTAGAATGTGTTCAGGAGTTTCAGGAACGTTCTCAGGAGCAGGATTTTGGGATAAAGCACTGGTATTGCCATTCTTGTCACCAGGACGATAGGAGATCTGGAAGTCGAAATTAGTGAAAAAGAGGATAGTGGGGATCGACCAGTTGTGGATAGTGTCAACCTTCCTCTCGTCCATGGAGACACCATCTTGACTAATGTTGTAATCAAGGAACTGTATTTCAGACTGATGGAACTGGCATTTCTCAGCTTTCAGAATCAGGTTGAACTCTCGTAGCTTCTTGAGGACCTCTGCAACTTGCCAGCGGTGTTCAGGTATGCTGCAGGAGTAGACAAGGATGTCGGTCGATATAGACTAACACAGACTGGTGGAGATAATCCCAGAGCACCTCATGCATAAAATCTTGGAAGACTGAGAGGGCATTGACCAGGCCATACAGCATAACGCAGTACTTAAAGTAGCCTGAAGGGGTCACACAAGCTGTTGTCCATTCGTCTCCTTCGCAAATCCTGATTAGATTATAACCGCTATGGAGGTCCAACTTAGTGAAGATGGTAGCGCCACAGAGGTGTTCAAGGGAGGAAATTTTGCCAGGATGAGAGGACGATATCGGAATTTTATGGTGATGTTGTTGTGGGAGCGATAATCAATACAGGGCCACAAGCCTCCATCTTTTTTTGCCACAAAAAAAGCTAGAGGCAGCAGGGGGGGTTGATGGACGAATGTAGCCTTGTTGGAATGCGTCCTGGATGTACTCCTCCATGGCCTTCTGCTCGGGAACGGAGAGTGGATAAATTCTTGCTCTGGGCACTGGCTCACCTGAAGTGAGATCGATAGCACAGTCCCATGGCCTGTGCGGCAGAAGTTGGAAAGCTTTCTTGGGGCAGAACATGTCACTGAAGTAGGCATAACACTCTGGAATATCCACAGACTGCTTATCAAGAGGACTTTCAATAGATGTAGAATATACTGGAATAGGTTGGACTGGAACGGAGCATTTTCAATGGCAGTTCTGGGAAACAGGATGGATAACAGTCATCCCCATAGGCGTCGATTTCGGTGGGGACGGTGGGTACGCGTCCCCACCAGATTTCGTCATTAGTCATTTTGTACCCACCACTCTTGGAAACATTGAGGCACGGTCGGATGTACCTAATACAAATAAAACATCTCCAGTTAACTAGCAGAGCATTCATTTAGTTCGCTCTTAAATAAGAGATCTAGCTAAAATGTTTTGTTTTTTAACTCAAGCTGAGCGCTCGTGTCCGCTGCTATCAGTGTCGTGGATACAGTGTTCTCTGTGGCTCGCGCACAGTCTTCACTCGGACGCGCACTTCAATCTATCGCCGTTGCAGACAGACTCTGTATATATTCATTCCGGTGAAATTACAAAATGAAATGCACACAAACGTGTCCCTGGCTGCTTGATATAGACTGTAACCACTGATGAACATTATTCAGTTTTGAGAGAAAAAAAAACGATACCGAGGGCGGATTAGAACCCGTAACCTCTGACACGCTTGGCAAAAGATCTACCACCAGACCATTTAAGAACTCAAACAAAAATATTTGCGGATCGATGCATTTATTTACGGGTTAAACAGGCTGCAGAATTTGTACCCAGCACTTTTGAAAATGCACTTCCGAATGCGTCTCTGTCCCCACCACATTTCAAACCAAACTGACGCCCGTGGTCATCCCCCCGCTTTAGGACGTCCCCATTCCTCAACAACTACAGGGTGGTGTTGGATTAACCACAGTCCACCTAGGATGATGCCAGCGGTGTAATTATTAAGAACCAGAAGATGGATTTGTTCCCGTTGCAGATGGTCAATTTGTAACTGGATGGGAACCACTCGATTCTTAATGCTGCTACGATTCAGAGGTTTGCCAGTTATGGATTGGGCTTGGTAACTCCTCTCCTTGATGGTCTTTTGGAGGTGAGCTGACCCAGAGTCGATAACAGTGACTGAAATGGACACATTAGAGGCAGTAGTGGAACAAACACAAGTAGTTTGAACAAAACTCAGCAGAGGACACGGAGGACGAGTGGGGCACGAACTGATGGCATGCCCAGCTCCTCCGCAATATAAACATAACCCCCTGGGTCTGCAGTCGGCGTTGCTCAGCCATGGGAAGTTGAGTGGATTCGATTTGCATGGGTTCTGGTTCTGAGAGCTGGCTTGCTCTGGCTGGCGTTGCAAGCAGGAATGCTGACCCTCTGTGGTCTCCAGACAACCCAGCATACGACGGGAGACTTAAATGGCCAGTTGAAAGAACTTCTCCAGTCTGATGGTGTCATCGTACAGCGAGATGCAGCCGCAGTGTAGGTGCCAATCCTCGACGAAACCCTTCACGGAAGTGAGTAACAACACTTTTAAGGGAGTGCGTGACCGGCCCGGATTGCTGCAAATCGTCTCTGCCCACAGCAGCGCTCTTGCTGTTAACAGAGAAATTACAAATGCTGTTTTATCTCTCTCTGTGGGGAAGCGGTGAGGCTGCATCTCGAGGGTCAGTGAGCATTGTAACGGGAATCCTTTGCATTCCTCCGCCAAGCCAGAGTATGGCCCCGGGTTGGGACTCGAATTAAGAGACCAAATTTTGTGACCAAAGGTGTAAGCCAATGTGTGGTATCTGTCTGCAGTTGTAAAACAATTAAGCACACGAGATGACACACTTGTCTTCATCCATCCTATTTACTCTTTACTTCCCTTCTTCTCATTCATTACAAAACACTTCAAAATATTAGCCCACAACACAATATATTTCTTCTCATGAACAATACACAATGTAGTGGGAAAGATGAAGTTCTGCTAAAATAGTATGTTTTGGTTCCATCCAGTTACTACATCAATTATAAGGTGAATGTTAGTTTGTACTTGTATGGATTACAGTTAAGAAACTTAACCAGGAAAATCATCTTCAGCCCGTTACATTAATGCTACACAATAATACTAATAGTAATAGAAGTTGTTGAAATCATCCCAAGTTAGCATGCCCCCTTCACACAAGGACAGTTGTCTGTGTTGTAAAGCATGTAAGCTCTCATCCTGTGTGTAGTAGTATTCATTATGTAGAAACATTTCAGCTGAAAAAGGGAAGTCATTTCAGAGGTGGAGCAAGTTATATTTTGATGAAAGATTACTAAGTCAAACATTCTTTGGAAAAATGTGCATTGGTGTTTTTCCCACTTTAACCACTAACAAAGTTATGTATATAAACCTGAACACACACACACACACACCACAATTTGTTTTAAGCATAATAAATGATAAGAATATTTCTCTGTGAAAAATAAGCCTTTATTCAAAATTAGCACTAGGCTAAACATCTTAAATTGCTCTGCAGCTTGAGATTGCATGCTTATGTAGGAAACAAAACAAAAAACGAGTTTAGCAATTCACACTCCAGATATTATCTAAGCGACCAACGCTTGATCATGCATTATCTGCAAATATCAAATGAGCTTTGAAATCAAATATATGATCTAACTTAGAGGCCCTCTATAAGGTTTCACTGCACAATAGGAAGTGAAGGAATGTTGCCTGCACAAATATAACCTGCATAGACACCATAAAAGGGTAACATTGCCTTTGATACCCTCTGCCAAAATTGTGCAGAAGGGAAGAACTCTTTTAAGCACTTGAAATATCTGGATGTTAATGATGAGTAAAAATCCCAATCCCAAACATACTGTATCTGAATTCACCCATGCATTACTTTGAAAGAAAAGACTCTACTACCTGAAATTTGATTTCTGCAAAAGCGGTTGTTTACTTCATTACTGACTCGTATCATGCCCAAACTTTTCCACATTAATTAAATCCCCTCAAACCAGTGAGCTAACAGTAACTGTGCATTTATATGATATCAGAAGCATAAAGGTTTGTTCACTGCTGAGGTTGTTAGCCAAAAAAATAAACAAAACATGCAAAACTGTATTTTTCAGCAATAAATACACTCCTCCTTCAGATATCATAGCTCATGTGAAAACATTTCATTTTGATTATTAATGTGCAATGGATGATTGATGATCGCTTTCACCATAGGGGACACATAAGGTATAACCAAACCTATAATTTCTATGATGATACATATTTCAAAGTGCCTTCAGTGTCTGTCTATAGAAAGCTATTGAAGCTTTACAAATCATACACCTTTATGCAGATTCCTTTGGTATAAAAACAAAAACAGACTAGATGTCAATGGAAGCTGCATATGCAAAGGAAACGAGTTTAGGATATCTAGCTAAGACAATAGTTTGATAGACAGTCCTAGCAAGAACTATAAACATAATTTTAAATAGTTCCAATCATTCTTTTTGGTGATGTGACGTGACAAACATATTGTTTAGGAATTTTGTCATACTTTGGTATTTAAAAGATATTTCCATTTCTGTCATTTGGTTGTCAAACCAAGACCACAAAAAATAAACAAACAATCAAACAAACAAAAAAAAAAGACCTTGAGAAGAAACTGGCTGAATATGGTTGACACTGATGTGTTTCATGCTCAATCTTTCAGCTTGCTCTCCAAGAAATCTTGAATTTTGTTGATTTTTTCTTCTTGCTGATCGAGGAGATCCAGTATGACTCCCATGGGCGTCTTCTTAAGGCCAACACCCTCAATCTTGTTCTCCAACTTGTTCTTTATGCTGCGGAGCCTCAGAGAAGCGTGGATAAGGATCACTGCAGGGGCGAAACAAGACTTCTACTGAATCTTGAGCAACAATACCTCTATTGATGAACAGAAACTGGACACATGGTAATATATGACATGCTATGAGGCCGTACACTCAAAGCTAGCAGAGAAACCGAGAAACACGACTACTCTGTACTTCCTGCTGTTTCTCCCTGTAGTCTTCAGTAGTTCCCAGTGTATAGTATAGGGCCAGTATAGTATTATTATTATAATTTTACTTTATTAAAATTTCCTTTTAAATAAATGTACAATACATACATAGTGATAAATTGGAGGCTGCTTAAAGGGTTAGTTCACCCAAAATTGAAACTTCTGTCAGTAATTACTCTCCCTCGTGTCGTTCCAAACTCGTAACACTTTCGTTCATCTTCAGGACACAAATGAAGATGTTTTAATGAAATCTGAGAGCTTTCTGTCCCTCCATTGACAGCTACGCAACTACCGAATCCATATGTATTGATTGGTTTAGTCCAAATTTTCTGAAGAGACTCAATCGTTTTATATGATAAACAGATTTAATTTAGGCTTTTACTCACATATACACATTGATCAGCAAACATAAAGAGAAGCTCGACTGAACATGCACGCTTGAGCGTCCTCAAGAACCGACGCGGCTCATTCTCGTGGGTCAAGCATGTTCGGTTGAGCTTCCTTTTATGTTTGCTGATTAATGTCTATATGTGAGTAAAAGCCTGAATTAAATCTGTTAGTGCGATCGTTCAAAAACTCTCCGATTTCATCAGAAAGATCTTCGTTTGTGTTCAAAGATGAATGAAAGTGTTAAGGGTTTGGAACGACATGAGGGTGAGTAATTACTGACAGAACTTTTAATGTTTGGGTGAACTATCCCTTTAATTTAATGTTCAGACATTTGGTTATTTTTTTGTCTTTAGTTTGTAGTTATTTCTGGGCAGCCTGCTGTAAAAGGCTCCTGTAGTGGCGTTAGGCAGGGATGTTGCACATAATCTGATCTGCTATTGTCAGCAAGTGCTAAAATGTAATATACTGTAACTAGGTAATAGTGTTTTGTGTTGCCATAGCTACATGCAAAACACTACTAAACCTCTTCCTGTTTTCCACAGTGACACACAACAGCGACAACACTCATGCAGCACGAGTCTATCCTGAGTAAATATGTTAGGTCTGTATTGTGAATGTCCCTCACTGATATAAAGTCGTAGCTCAGGTCCTCCAACATTAAAGGGAGAGTTGACACAAAAATGGCACTTCTGTCATCATTTACTCACCCTCCTAGATCACATCAACGAACTCCTCCCGAACTTTGTTAATGAAACATAATTTAGTGTTCACACCAGCCGACGATATCGTTCTGTGTATTCGCGGCGCGCTGCAGTTTTGTCGTCTGCCGCTTTAAATGCTCGAGCTTTCTGAAGGGATTCTGATTGGCTGTCAATGTTTTTATCGTTTATCAGCTGGAAAAACTCGTTCTGAAAGCGATTCCAAAGATATTGTTTCTCAGTGCCGTTACTGTTATAGTTGAGGTGTGAACACTGCTATTCCTCTATATATATAATGATTTTAAGAACTATATCTTTATCGTTATCATTACAGTTATCGTCCTTGGTGTGAACGGCCCTTCAGGAATGACACGAGTGAGTAAATGATGACAGAAATGTTTAGTTTTGGGTGAAAAACTGAAACCATAGAGGAAGCCTTTTTCTGTTTTTCATAGCAAATTTGATAGTAAAATGAGTTATTTTTGTCAAACATGATGAGATGGCAACAGTCTCCAACACTTTTGCAAAATAAACAAAATAAAGGTGCTTTATTGGTGTTGATTGGTGGTGGTTGAGGAGATTCCCCCCTCTATGGAAAGCACTTTGAGTGCTGAGAAAAGCGCTATATAAATGTAATGAATTTTTATTATTATCATTATTGATGGTTCAATGAAGAACCTTTCCATTGCACAAAAGGCTCTTTATAAGGATAAAGCGTAACACTTTACTTGAAGGGGTGTGCATAAGACTGACATGACACCTTCATAATCATGACATGACACAGGGTTTTATGCATGTTTATGACAACTGTCATTAAGTGTCACACACCTTGACATAAACCAATACATCATAACCTCTTGACCTCTTGTGTCTTGGTAATGACAACTTGACATTACTAAGACAACACAACCTGTCATAAACATGACATAGCAGATGAATTGTCAAACTTAAGAAAGCACTTAGCTTTATGGGTTAACATTACATTAATCTGTCAGGTGGTTGGTTTTGACATTGGCTGTCATGAGGACATTATTACATTTTAATGACAAATTCAATTTGTACCACTGTAGTTGAGGTCAAGAAAAATATTCATGACACAGTTATAATGGCCTCATGACAGCCAATGTCAAAACCAACCAACCTGACAGTTTAATGTAATGTTAACCCATAAAGCTAAGTGGTTTCTTAAGTTTGATAATTAAAGGTTGTCTTGATAATGTCAAGTTGTCAATGTCATGTGTCATGTCATGATTATGAAGGTGTCATGTCAGTCTTATGCACACCTCTTCAAGTAAAGTGTTACCGGATAAAGTTTTTACACTAAGAAAGAAAACGGTTGTGTTAGGATCTGAAAGGTTCTCTGTGGAACTTCAGTGGCATCGCTTGGTTCTCTTTTGGAACCTTTATTTTTAGAGTGGGTGACAAATACGTAAAGTATTCCTGACCCTGACATAAACAACACATAAACAGAAATGGCGTGATAGTGCACTTGTAATAAGGCAGTGCAGATCTAATGCTAGTACTCACAGAGCATTGGGAATGTGATGCCGAAGAGGAACACCATCACTCCTCCACACAAGGACAGCAGGAAGTAGCTGATTCCCATCACACCCACCACGAACAGGGTGGGGTTCTTCATCTTGAAGTTCTTGATCACGGCTTTATTCTCTCCAGCCCACACAGAGCCGGTGAACACCAGAGCCACAACGGCCCCGCCAAGAAACATGCCCAACGGGTTCAGGAAACTGGAAAATACACATTTAATGCACAGCAATGACATGAATTCATCAATATTATTGCTGTTATTACATTGTGTTAAAGGTGCTGTATGTAATTATTTTCTACATTTTGCCGGCTGCTTGTTTTCTAGCCTCATCCATCCTGAAATCTCATTGGGCCGATGTACCTCATGTATATTCATCCGCAAGTATTGACAACGAGAGACTGACTGTGGAATTCACATGTGGTGTGGACCGACAACTCGTTACCCTTATGAAAATATAATTGAATGATCAATATATCAAACGGTTTAACAGTATATTTCAAAATATACAGAATAATATATTGAATAATAAGGAATTGACTTTTTTTTTTTTGCGGCTTAATTTTAACATTTGCTCTTCTTTAACAGTCAAAAGCAAAGCATGCTGGGAACTAAATCTTTTGTAACTCATTCCGTGAATGTGTGTGTGTGTATATGGTGGGTGAACATACATTCACATTTATATGGGAACATGTATGTGCAATATTTACAGTATGTACACACAATAAAAGAAAAAACTTTGTGAATATTACATGTAATGGTATTTTTGTCTTCATTTATAAATATTCTATATATAATAATATATAGCCATACATGGTCAATGAATACATTGCAGTATATTGAAAAATATAAGCACTAGTTTCCCATATATGGAAATGTATTATGTACTATATCCCATTATATTTTGCAGTATATTCCCATATATTTTTGTTCTTTAAGAGTAGGATACTGTGTTAAGGGCTGTTCACACCAAGGACGATAACGTTTTAATAATCATTATATTTCTATGAGACTAGTGAAGGCTACACCCAAGCCATACCAATAACAACACAGAGGAACGATCTAATTTGAAACACCTTAAGAACAATTTGTATTTAAAGCGACAGACGTCAAAACTGCAGCACATCTGTTTTAACACAAAGTAAGAAATGTGGCTGTTAAATAATAAACAGTAACAGCTCAGACCCCAAACAGATGTAGGGTAGGTGACAAATAATGCACATTTACATTTTTGCTGGTTACATATGATTGTGCCAAATTTTCACTGCAAATGTACACTCAGGTGGCATGAAGCGCTTCTGACGTGGCAATCAGTGTCTGCACACACAGAGCGTTTAATGAGGCTCCGAGGATGAAGCCGGCATTTACACCGCAACTCAGCAGCACAGAGCAGTCTTGCCTTACCAGGAAGTGTTTTACATGATGTGGGTGATCACCATTTATTTTAGGTTTTCAGATATTTAAATTACCTTTTATAGGTCAATTCAACTCTAAATTTACATACACTGCCAGTGCCCAGCCCCAAAAAATGTACTTTAAATTACCTAGTTGTGATTATTTCACCACCCGGTGTCAGTGTGCTCGTCTTAACTAGTTACAGCAAAGCTGGTGTGTGAGACCTGACGAATAAGATCAGAATGAACAGATTTATTTATTTGTATTAAATATTTTTGATAATTTAAAATACTAATTTTAATAACATAAAAAACTAATGTATGCAAACATTCTTAATTGTTAATACCATATTCTAACGCTGTCCAGGAGTTACTGTTTAAGATAAATTAAATGTTAAACATTGTTAAATTTCTTTAAGGCAGTTACCGCGCACATTCATTCAAATATTCTAATACTGCTTTTACGAAAATTAACCCTGGTTTACTACAAATAAAACCAAAAAACCCTGGTTATTGTAGTTAAATCATGGTAACCACAAATCAACCATTGTTTAATCATGGTATTTGCAGTAAAACTGTATTATAAATGGTGATAAATTCGCGAAAAAACATGGTTACAACATTTTTACTATAATAAAACCATGGTTAATTTTCATAAGGGTGTTTATCAGTCAAATTCATTTAAAAATGTAAATTTAACAGAAATATGATCACTAAAAGAAAGCGTCTCGGGTTCCTCGTGTAACCATGGTTCCCAGAGAGTGTGGAACGAGACATTGCGTCGAACCTGATGCGATGGGGAACATATACAATCCCCTGATCAGCTATTGCTTCAATGCAAATGAACAAGCGCGCCGTTATTTGTTGCGTAGTGACGGGCGTGTTCAAGTAAGCCAGATATGAGCAGATATCACAATGACTCACAAGTTGAGTATGACTTACTTTGGCTTACACAAACTTCCCCATCAAATTGAGTAAACATAATAAGTAACCCGGTAAAATTGGCCAGTGATTTGACAGTGTTGCCATCAACAGCTGATTTTTACCCACAAATGCGTGTGTTAATTTCAAAGCATGATTATTAGCCAAGCGAGACGAGTGTTGGTTTTGGTTAGCACATAGGAGCAGCAGAAAGCCCGCTCGTGCCCTATATGAAACGCAAGTGTCGACGCTCATCACACAATCTTTTATTATACGGCCTTGTCGAAACTACTCGCCAAGGAGGGGCGTGGCGACGAGTCTCTCAGTCATCCAATAGCAGGTCATTAAACTCCCGTTGCACAGACGCAGTGCACAAGAAGGAATTTCAAAATTATTATAAAACTTATCGAAAGTATTCTGTAAAGACCATCCAGCTGCTAAGCAAGTGTCCTGAATAGGCATTCCTCTTGCCCAAGCCCAAGATGAAGCCAAACTCCTAGTGGAGTGGGCGCACACACACCAACAGGGCATTCAGTCTCCTGAGAAACACGAGCTAAGCGGATGGCTTCCACTATCCAGTGCGAAAGCCTCTGCTTTGACACCGGATAGCCTTTCTTAATACTCCAATACCAGACAAAAAGCTGTTGAAGTGTTACAACCTGTGGTCTGAACAGAGTTAAAGGGATACTCCACCGGTTTTTCATATTAAACTATGTTATTCCCTTAACTAAGACGAGTTGATACATACCTCTCTCGTCTCAGTGCTTGCACTATATCGCTCTGTATTGCCGCAAAACTATGTTAGCACTTAGCTTAGCCCAGCGCATTAAATATGGGCCAAAAAGAGAAGCGACCAAACACTTCCTCGTTTTCCCTATTTAAACACAGTTACTCGAGTAGTGTAACTCGACCTAGGCTGGTGACACAAAATAAACCGTTGTGTTTTTCTAAGCGTTTAAAATTGATGACTATATTGTATGGCGGAATACCATAACAAGTGCTTTTGAGCACTTCGACTTGGCGCAATAATATCATCACTCGTGAAAAGTCCTCTTACCGGCTCCCGCTTCCTCTCCCCCTCCCTCTCATTTCCGTCAATACAACCAACGTGACACTTACTACCTGTGCTATTAGCAAACTGCAGATCATTTGCAATGGCGGACTTTGTAGATGATTATGACTTCTTTGTAGCAGACCCAGAGCCTATCTGTTTGAACCCGAGTACACGGAGGAGGAATTAGCTCTTATGGACCGTGAGAGGAAAGAAAAATTTTACGACTGCCGGGTGAATCATCGCTGCAAACGCGCCGCTTGCCGCGACACATGCGATTTGTCCAGGGTCTTCTGGATCTACACTGACCCCCACCTTCGATGGCAATACCTGGTCCCATTCTAAACAGCACAGGCTCTCAATTTCGGTCGGCATCTGTTCGCCACAGTCACACTTGCACCACCAATTGCTGTTTGCCCGTGGTCTTTCGCCGGCTCCGGTCTGTTCTGGATCATATCTATTTTCCCTCTCACGGTCCATAAGAGCTAATTCCTCCTCCGTGTACTCGGGTTCAAACAGATATGGGTCTGGGTCTGCTACAAAGAAGTCATAATCATCTACAAAGTCCGCCATTGCAAATGATCTGCAGTTTGCTAATAGCACAGGTAGTAAGTGTCACGTTGGTTGTATTGAGAATGAGGACATGCGTCACGGTAGCTTGCCGTCACGTGACGAATTGAGGCCGCCCACCATTTTGGGAGGACACGCTATTGGTTGCCAGGGGCAACAGTGTAAGAGCGATACAGAGACGGATACAAATTGAAACGGATATACGGATAGAAATTACGAGAAATTATATAAATAATATATATATATATATATATTATATAATATATACATATATAAATAAATATATATAATATAGAAATTAAGAAGAAATGGAGAAGAATGCGGCAAAAGAAAAGGGTCCTTACAGGGAGAAACTTACTATCAATGCCAAACAGAGGTATTTGGAGAAATTGGCTGATATTAAAAACGTCGACCCATACGAGCTGCCTGCAGCTGAATGGAACAGAGACCTAGACTCTTTACCACCTTGTACGTATATGGAAATAGTTAATTACTTGGTTTTTGGCATCAGTTATTACACTATGCTAGAATTCAAAAGCCTGAAATCCTTGGAAAGTTACGAGACATTCTGCTGCGGCTGGGTGCGCGACTTGGTCATCTACAAGCCCCCAAACTGTGAAAACACCGTTGTACTGGCAAAGGTAAGTTGCTTCACTTTTTGTCAAGTCACTTTTATTTATATAGTGCTTTTTACAATCCAGATTGCATCAAAGCAGCTTAATAATAGGAAAATAACAAAGTTTGTTTCTGCTGTACAGGAGCTCTGAATCAAACAGTGATGAAATTCAGTTCAAAGGAAGTAGTGTCAATTGGGGCTGTAACAATATTGTGTCACAATATATCGCAATACAAAAATGCAACAATATATCGTGGATAGTGACAGTAGTGTGTATAGTTCACCCAAAATTAAAATTACTGTGTAAAAAAAAAAGAACAAAAGTTTACAGTTTTAGTGTCAGTGCTACATTAAACTTCTATAAACTCTCATCGAGTCGGAGATGCGGTCGAAAGTAATGTCCTTTCTTCTAACAGCTGCAACCCAAGAAATCCGACGTCTCTTTGTCACATCGGAGACATGCTCTCCTTCATGCTTTTTCCATTTAGGCAAACGAAAAAAATGTAACAAATGGTTGCTACAGTTCCCACGACGATCGTGTGAGACACTGGAGCAGTTTTTTACACAGCAGTGTTTTCCAGGCATTCTAACACTGCGACAACCTCCTCTACTACCAATATAAACAATAAGCGTTGCTAGCGGGTGTCCTC